CACAAGGGTTTGTCGTCCCGCCGTCCCGCCGCCCCTGCCGCGGCGGGAGCCGGGGGCGGGTGTCGCGAGGGAGGCTCTCTCGCAGCCTCTCTCCCCCACCCGTCGCTCTCCAAACCTCTCGCGGGCCCCGCTTTCCCGGGTCGCCCCCTCCCCCGGCCGCTCCCCGCCACGGGGGGAGCGGCTGGCGGCGGGCCTCGCGCGCCTCTCCCCGGCCCGGCCGGCGAGGGAGAGGTCGCCCGTCCCGTCTTCGAGGTGTGTGGGGGGAGGGCCCGGGTCCGCCGGGAACGGCCGCGGGGAGGAGGCAGGCGCACCGCCGGCGCGTCTGTGCGCGTTGGGGTTGGCCGGCACGCCGGCCCCCTCTCCCGCCTCGCTGGGGCCCCCGGGCCCCGGGCTGGGACGGGGAAGGAGGGGGAGCCGGTGGGGTGCGGGCCCCCTGGCGCGCACGGGTGTCGTTCGGGGGGCGGCCGCGCGGACCCCTTTCCCAGGGGGGGACGCGAAGGCCGGAGGGCGGCCGGCGCGTGCTCGCGCTGGGCACACGCCCTTGCGGCTCCTCTTCCCCTCCCACGGGGGCGGGTCGACCAGCACTCCGGTCGGGCCGCGCGGCCTCGGGGCTCCCCGGGCGCCCGGGTCGACCAGCGCTCCCTTCTCCGGGGCGCGGCGACACTTTGGCCGCGCTCGGGGAGCGCGGGTCGACCAACACTCCCGTCGCGGGGCCTGGGGGCCTCGGGGCCTCGGGGCCTCGGGGCCTCGGGGCCTCGGGGAGCCTCGGGGAGCCTCGGGGCCTCGGGGAGCCTCGGGGAGCCTCGGGGCTCCCCGGGCGCCCGGGTCGACCAGCGCTCCCTTCTCCGCGGCGCGGCGCGGCGCGGCGGGCGACACTTTGGCCGCGCTCGGGGAGCCCGGGTCGACCAGCGTTCCGGCCCGTGGCGCGGCCGGCGGGTCCCGAGTCTCGTGCCTCGGTCGGTGAGGGGACCGGGGCGCCGGTCGACCAGCACTCCCTTTCCCCTCCGCCGCAGCTGGTGGAGCTGTGGCCTCGGGTCTGGTGACCCTGTCCGGGCGGAGGGACTTTGGCCTGCCGCCTGCATTGCGTCTGGGGCCCCGGGTCGACTGGCGGCACTCCTTTCCGTGCCACGGCCCGTTGGTTCTCGCACGCGCGAGGGATCGATCCCCTTCGTTTTTTTTTTTTTTTTAATTTTTTTATTGTTATGTTAATCACCATATATTACATCATTAGTTTTTTTTTTAATTTTTTTTATTGTTATGTTAATCACCATATATTACATCATTAGTTTTTGATGCAGTGTTCCATGATTCATTGTTTGTTCATAACACCCAGTGCACCATGCAAAACGTGCCCTCCTCAATACCCATCACCAGGCTAACCCATCCCCCCACCCCCCGATCCCCTTCGTTTTGTCCCGGTCGGTCGGTCGGTCGGTCGGTCCGTCCGTCCGTCCGTCCGTCCGACGCACCCACCCACCCACCC